TGTGTGTGTGTGTGTGAGAGAGAGAGAGAGAGAGAGAGAGAGAGAGAGAGAGAGACTGTGTGTGTGTGTGTGTAAAATGGCAAATCAGCAGAGTTAAAATAATTGGCAATTTTGAGACCTATTTTAATGTCCTTAATTGGAAGTTTCAGTGTTGAATGAGAAGCAATTTCAGGAGTCAATCAGTTTCATAAAGAAACCAGCATGTATACAAATGCACAATTCATCATGTCTAAGAATAGTTTCTTCTAGTAAGAATAATAGCTCAATTCATCAAAATGGAGGGTCAAGGCCCAACTTGAAACTCTATAGACTGAACAGGAAGTTGAAACTACATAGACTAAAAAACAAAAACAAAACTCCAAAATCAATGGTTTTAAAGTGGGGCCCACTTATTCCGGGTTGAGGTGATGGCAGACAAGGCTAAACAAGCCCATTGTCTTGGTCTTTCCAGAAGACATTAGGGAGATTCTCCCTGAAATCTGAGAGGCCAGTGGAAGGAGATCAGAGGGTGGGGGTAAACAGGATGTCCCAGGCCAGAAGATAAGTCACAGGCACCAGAACATCTGTTGGCTCTGATTAAGTGACATCAAGGGTAAAAATGAGTCCTTGTTGAAAAAAAAAACTGCTTATCTTGTCCTGCAAACAGCCAAGGAGCTTTAGGAGCCCTGGATACCAACCTGTTTCTGAAATGTATCAGATGAATGGTTAGTGTGGATTTATAAATACCAGCACATCTGAACAGTAGGGAGAATACATTGAAGCATGAATGGAATAAATTAAGGATGAATAGCCATGGGGGGGTGGTAAAAAATTTCTACAATAATTACCAAAGTTAAGGAATTCTTGACTCCTAAAAGGCAGGTTAAAGTATCAATCAATTCCAAAAGTATTTAGGTCAGTTCAGAGGTAAAGTGCAAATGCAGACTACATTTTAGAGAGTAATGGGTTGGGAGCCTTTGGTTGGGATCTTTGAGAGTGACTGGCAGAGGGATAAGTAATTATTCCCATTTATTTCTTCTCATCTCCAGTCTTGGCCCCTTTTGCAAATTATATATATTTTAGTGACACCTCTTTCTTCTGTTAAGCTTTACGATCTTCAGCTTGGGTCTTGGACTATAAGTCCCATATGTAATAAAAGGCCCCAATGATAGACACTGTGCTTCTGCTTGTCACCCATACACACTGTTGGAGTCTTGTTTATCTTTCTTCTTCAAGCAGAAGCAGAATATAATACATTCTGCAGAACTAGGAAACAGATACAAATTGCCCAGGCAAGGGAGAAGGTGAGCTCATATCTCCCTTTGGCTTTCCAGAAACACTAAGTGTTCCCAAAGGATGAAGTATTGCCAAAGCCTCCTCCAGGTGGAAGTGCTGGTGAATTCTCTACCATAGCATGGGGTGCGGGGTTGGGGAAGGAAGTGATTTCTGTAAACAAGACTCCATTTACAGATTCCCTTCTTCACCTGCACTCATCCACAAACAAAACAAGCAAGTGCTTTGCAATAATATAGAAAACACACCAAGGATAGAATAACAATATGGGTTTTCGCCAGGTCCTAAAAGAGGCTACGGCTCTAGGACTGTGGGATAAGTACACGTAGATGACAATATAGAATGGGGAATGCATTAAGTAAGATGGTCCTTATTCTAAATTTTATAATGTAGGAAAGGAAATCATGTTATTTGTAGGCTATGCCCTTAGCAAATTCTAACACAAAGACCACCTCTATGTTAAAAGGTCATATCCAGAAAGCTACCTCCAAACATGGGAGAGCTGGCCCTGAACAGAAATAATGCAGTAATATAACCCTGGGAGGGAAATGTGTTTTCAGTTATACCAGGGCCCGGTCCAGCCTTTCCCACAGGCTCTTCCTAAATAGGAACTTGGCAATGGGATTAGTAGAGCTGGAAGGGACGTCCTTGGCTTTAGAGGTGAGGCCCGTCAGGGTCCCGAGGAAAGTCAGGCAGAAGTTCTCTCTGCTGGTAATAACACTGAAGAATCAGTGTCACATCCATTTTATTAATTTTCTTGACAGGCAGATCTAGTTACCATGCAGGCACCACAAAATCAAAACATACGCATGTCAAGTGGCCCCATCTGTGGTGGGGCTCTGCCAAGGCCCATGTCACATCAACACAAGGAAGCAGAACCCAGTTCCTCAGACCATGTGCTGGGTCCTGTGAGCAAGCCTCTGCTGGAAGAAAATCACCAGAGCTCCATTGAAAGAGCCAGGGCAGTTCTCTTGGTGACAGTTCGTTAGCCTAGGTCTGGACTCCTTGGATTGAACAGACAATTCCTGGGAGACACATGGCTACATCTGGCTTTGGTGTCCCATCCCTAAACACTGCCCCCAGACCTCCCTGCTACTTTCATTTTGCCTGCACTCAGTTTCATCTCTATAGGACAAAAACAGCCTGGATTAAAGAAGACATTTAGAGGCACACAGTGACTTTATTTGTAAGTGGGTTTGAACTTGAAGTTCTGTTGAGCTGAGGTCTATGGGTACAAAATAAACACAAGAGAACTTATTTTAAAACAAAGTGTTATTCATTATGAGCAAGCACTGCTACAAGCATGGAAGTGGGGCCAAGACAAGTTATTCTTTATGTCATTCTATGAGAACTACCTATTGGCTAAATAATGCCAATGACACAGGTACAAAGGGTAGAGTCCTGAGACATCCCAGCCCTAAGTAACACAGTTCATAAATGTGTTGTGCTACCTTGACTGCTGAAGCCCACACTCCAGAAGCTTCCTCAATTAGGAATCTAGACTCATAGGCACTCAAGGATCTGGGCCCTGGAGAACAGAGTGGGCTCATTCTCTCTCCCTGAGTTGGTCCAGCAGCCATCTGGAGACTAGGAGTGGCTGCCCAGTGAGCTCTGACAGGGAGATGAACACATCCAGACTGCACGTCTCTTGGGGTGAAGACTCGGTTCATCTTTTCTTTCTCCATTCAAATAGCCATGGCATGTCAGCCTTGCTGGCCTCCTTGATTGTGCAGAAGTAAATAAATGAATTATGTTGTTGGGGTTTGGGCTTCAGCACAAACACATGGTCTGCATTTATCCACACAGTGAGAGGTCCACCAGCCACTTGATATAAAAGAGGAAAATGATAATTCTTTTCTTTAGGCACTCTGGTGCCATATGGAATGTATATAAATCATATTTTTGTTTTAACAGCGGAGGCTTTGTTGATAGATAAACATGTGGTTTATCTAAAAAAAAGAGAGGATTGTGCTTTGAACAATCATTTAATGGCCACGGATGTGCCAAATAAAAATAAAAACATAATTTTGAAAGGAGCTGGCCTCATTCCCAAATCTGTAACAAGGAATTTCTCCTCAACCAGAGAAGTTAAAGCCCGCCGATCTGTTTTGAGTTTAAGCTGTGCTCTACTCAACCCCACGACAAATGGAATCCTAGGCTAATGTGCTCTAATAAGACAAGACGTTACCTTTATGAATGACCTCATAGAGAAGAGGTTGGCAAGCATTGTGGAGAGGCCTTGAGCCAGACAGCTCTGGGCTATGAAACCCAACTTGAGCTCTGCGAGGCATATTGCGTCATCACCCTCTTTCCAATTCCAGCTGGGGATGTTGAGCAGATGGGCCTGTGGGAATAACAAGAGGTATGAGACCCTGTTCTGCTCCTTGTCTGAGGGTCTGAAATCTCTTCTGGGAACTACCACACTGTCCAAGGACATTGGGTCATCCAGACTCATCCTCTCTTCCCTCTGCCTGGATCTGAGGCCTGTTGCTAGGATCTCCACTTCTATCCAACAGACTGTGGCCTCTTGGCAATGTTACTTCTACACTCACCAGGACCACATCCTCCTCTCAAGTTTGCTATTTAGCCAGATTCAACCCAGAGAGGATTTTTCTCTTGTGAGACATACCAGCCCCCATTATTAAGAAGTCTAGTTAGCTTGTTTTTAAAGTGGTTCTCAAGTAGTATCAGATTGCCAGATGTCTGTGTGTCTATGTGCTCTTGGATTTTTTTCTGCTTTCTCAATATTCTAGGTCAGTGATGTCTGCAACTTGAATGGGCACCTACATGCCCTGCAATGTATACAAAACACAGGTTGTTGGTCTCACACTGCTAAGTTTCTGCCTAAGTAGATCTTGGGTGGAGCTGAAGAATCTGAAACTCTACATGTGGAAGGTAATGTCCCTTCTCTGGAGACCACTGTGAAGGACCTGTCCCCTATATCACCACAGCACAGATATCTTGTAGTCTTTCACAGATGGACTGTTCAGACCCATCTTGCAGACCCAGAGGCATGCTTACAATAGTATTTGCCAGTAGCACACAGCAGGGAGTCATACATGACAGAGTGAGTGAAAAAGTTGAAATTCAGGAAGTTCTCTAGTGTTTGGCAATTAACAGATAACAATAATAATAGAAGATAGTAACAAGGCCTGAATGTCAGAGACAGCAGTGCTTGTGTTCCAAAAACATCAATTATATAAATTTGAAACAAGAAGACAAATCTAAGAGAGAATGTGTGTGTGTGTGTGAGAGAGAGAGAGAGAGAGAAAGAGGGAGAGAGAGAGAGAGAAAGAGAGAGAGAGAAAGAAAGAGAGAAAGGAACATAGTATTTAAGTGTGTGGGTATCTAAAACCTCAATTAGAGGCCATGGGATACATGACATAAAGCCAAAGTCTGCTTGTTACAAACAGTCTCCAGAGCAAAGGAAATGAACACTTCATTCTATGTGAACAGGCCACAGTCATTCCACAGAATTTGATCCATGTTTAGTAGCCAAAATCAGAGAGGGAAAAAAGGTCGATTAAATAATGGCCATAGAAAATTGATGAAGACAAGAGGAGGGGAGTATTCTGCAAAAGCTCTTTTGAGAAACAGTGAAAAGAGCCAGAAATGTCCAAGATTCAGGTGACACCATCCTCAGGGAGACAGGGTAGTCATCACATCTGAATGTCTCAGGTACTGCTATGTCAAGATTATCTATGCCCTACTCTGTTCTTGGAGCCAGAGTAGGACTGGCCTGGCATATATTAAAAGAAAGCAGAGGGTTTTGGCTTGTTTAACAAAGGAACTTTCTTAGGATGAAATACATCCAATAAATGGAGATGGTTACTTAAAAAAAAAAAACAACAACAACAAAAAGTACAAAGTCCTTATCCCTAAGACTTAGCATTTTTCCAAGATGTTAGAGTAAAACACGCTTTGTACAGCAAGTTAACCCAGAGTCCTTCTAAGTCCTTATACATGCCAAGGCACTATAGCTCTGAAATTATTTCTCCTTATGCATCAGGAAATGGGGAACAGCAAAAGAGCCTTCCCTTTCCTTTCAGAACAACAGAGGCCAGTTGCAATAAAAGGATGGAATATCCCACTGCAGAAACAAAGAACAGAGCCCAGGCCTCTTTGCTCTGCTTGGAGAAACCCTACTATTGTGAAATGCCTGCTTGCAAAATCCACCTCTTGTGACAGTCTCCAGTCCCAGCCAGCAGTGGTTACTGTTGGAAGAGATGACAGCTTACTCCCTAACCAGAGTATGGTTAAAACAGGCCTGTGTGTGGGCCACAGAGGAGTGTGATTCATGTGGAACTGAGTACCACAGGGTCTTCTGCACATCACACACTCAATGCCAACAGATAATACCACCCTCTTTCCCATTTTTCTCCCCATTCTTCCCTGGCTTAAGACATCAGCCTTTTCACTTTGCATCCCTGGCATGGTATAAAAGATCTTCATCCATGTGGAGAAATACTCATATGAGAAGAATGATAAATTACATCTAAATAGTGAACTTGTGTGTGACAACAGATCTGGGTGGTCGAGTCCCTACAGAGACACCACATAGCCTCCATGACATCTTCAAACAATAGATATTTTGCAGAAAGTGTGCCCTATCTGCATGCCATGCAAAATATGCAGCTCTGGCATGTAAGCCTTGGGGCTCTTGTGTCCCATGGAGGAAGTCATGCTCATTTCCAGATTCTACTGTCTCCTTTCTTGGCCATTGTGTTTTCTACAGTCATGGGACAGGAAGTGAAATAGAAGTGACAATGGCCAAGAGAGAAGGTTATGTGCATGAAGCCAAGAGAGGATATTAACCCAGGAACTCAAATTCTTTGTTTTTGGAAACTTCATCCTCTTTCATTTGAGGGAAGTTGGGTCTGGTGAAAAAAAAAAAATGCCAGCATTTCCACACAGGGATCTGGAGGCAAATTTGTTCTAACTTGACAAACTGAAAAAACAGGTCCAACATTAGTCAGGCCCTCCTCCTCCATTTATGTTACTGGACCACCCTTTATTTCATGGAGAAGGAATATGAAAATGTGCTGTCCTAGGAAGGCAGAAGAAATGAATTTTGGTCATACTTCCTTCTCTTACTATATATTTAGCCTTAGAGAAATGCTCTGAGAAACAAACAAACAAAAATGATGAAGTATAACAACAGTACTTTGTAGTCTGCATCTTCAGTCCATGTCTAATAAGGACCACATACTAACAGCTTCTTCCCCACAGTGGTGGAGGAAGTGGAACCTTTGGGAGGTAGAGTTTAATAGAAGGTCTTTGGGTCATTGAGATCATTGCCTTCCAAGAGCTGGCAGGACACCAGTCAGCCCTATCTGTTTTGTTTGATGGCTATGAATTGATCCATTGCTTTCTACCAGTCTCTCCCAGAATGATGTGTTGCCTTATCACAAGCCTAAGAAAACAAAGACAACCCAAAGCCTCATTGTTAGAATGGCAGAATGCTGCCTATGATGACTTGGGCTGTCAACTTGACAGAATCTAGACTTATCTAGGAGAATGGCTTTAGAGCATGCCTGTGAGGGCTTACATGCATTCTGTTAATCAAGATTGGAAGACCCACCCACTGTGGGTAGCACCATTCCCTGGTTGGAATCCTACATTGTGTAAGTGGCAAAAGGGAGCTTGAGAAACTATATATTCATATTCTAGTTCCTGATTGTGGATGTGACATAATCAGATACTTCAGGTTCTTGGTAATTTGACCTCCTCTCTATGATAAACAGAGCCCTGAGCTGTGAGCTGAAACAAAACCCTCCTTCGTGTAGATGCTTTTGTCATGGTATTTTATCATGGATACAGGAAAGTTATGAAGGCAATGATGAACACAACTATGCCTCACAAGCCAGCAGAGACAACAGGGATGTTCAAAGAACTAGCATCTGGGCTCGGGACTTGGTTTCCAGATCAGAGACAAGGAAAAAGAACAGTAGCAGGTGAGTTATTAGGAACTATGCTTTTGTCTAGTGTGCCATGCATCATCCTGTCTTTGAAGAGCTTTAAATCAGCCAATGCACTCTCTTCCTTCTTCATTCAGAGATGGCCAGATTTAAAAGTTCTCTCTGTGAAAGGTAGCCACTAAAAAGAGACCTATTTTGGAGAGCACATTCTTCCCGCAGGAACCAGAGTTTGGTTCTGTGGGCTACTGTACCATTTAAATAAAAGGTGGCAGTTGGCTATCCTGTCCTAGTTTGCTGGCTGCTGAGTGACTGTGATTTGTGCTCGCCAGAGTTGGTCTGCCTAGGATAGAGCTTTGACTTCTGTTAGTCTGATGTTACACTGGGATGCTAAAATGCACAGATGGCCCAATGAGGACTAAATGAGATAATGGATGTCAAAGCTCTTTTAAACTCATAAAACAGGACACAAATGTCTGTAATTATTATGATGACAAACTCAAGGCCAGCAGTTTCCCTGCATCCCTGTGGGCTCTTGAATATCACCCTCGTTACATCATGGAGTTGACATTGTTTTTATTTCAAGCCTGGTGTCCAATTGTGGGAGCCATTATCCCCTCCAAAATATGTTCTCAGTGGCATAGTTTTCACACAAACATCAGGTCTCTCCTAAGTGCCTGTATAAGTGAGTGGAGTTCTATGTGCATCTCAGATGAGTGCAGAGAAAAAGGCACAACAAGAAGAAAATGTTGGAAAAGGAGAAGAGTGTGTGGAAAGGTAGGTGATCTTAGGCAACCGCAAAAATTACCAAGCAGGGGGAAGAACTGTCCACTCAAAAATCTACTAAGAATGACCTAAAAAATAATAAAGACAAGAGGACTCCTATTCTAAAGGGGGATGTGAAATAACAGAGGAAAATGCCCTTTGTCAAAGTTACTCTATCACTGTATCCTTTCCAATGTAACTGTATTCTGAAAATGACTTTGCCTGACCCAGGAACCCAAGTAGAGTGAGTGGGGTGGTTCCTAACAAGATGTGTTTTAAGCAAATAATCATGGGTCTGTTGCTTTCTTCACCACAGTGACTGAATGATTGTACTGCAAAGTCTGTCCAAGATATTCAGGTGGCTGTACTCATGTGAATACTGACCATGTACCATCTGGCTCTGAGGCCAATCAAGATGCTTTGAGTTTGACAAGAACTACACAGCTGAAACGCTCTTTAATTTCTTGAAGATGCTACATCAGCACCCGTTGGAAAGAGAAGAAAAGGAACTGACATCTCTTTCTAAACATGCAACATTAATTTTCCTATTCAGTCTAAATTCAGCCAAAAATCTAAACAATCGCTTAAAGCACTCCCACACTAAATGAAATTTCAAATCACAAATGAAAGAAGGAGTGTTCCTTGCAGCAGGAGCTGTCACCAGTCACAGCCTCGCTAATAAAATTCACCTTCCACCTACAGAGGCTGACATCAAGAACTTCTCCAGGGTGATGCCTGTGAATTACCAATGGCCCCCTTATCTCAACCTTGAGTTTTCAGAGACAAACAGGGAAGTCACCTTCCATACCCATCACCAAATCCACTGGCTGGAGAGTAACAGAATTTCCAATAGAGCCACCTGCCGAGGGCTGGGCAATGGCTGGCATTGGGCAGCAGTTCCAAGCAGTGGGCCAGTCGCTGACAGCAGGACCCACTCAGCAATGGCCTCTGATGGGCCTCCACACGGCAAAATGGGCCAAAACTTGCCAGCAATTAAGAAATAATGGCATGGTGCTGGTGGCATTTGGCAGAATGGGTTTTTCTCTGGGACACCTGATGGCTTGTTTTGTAAGGAATATGGCCTATAAGATGGGGCATGCTGTCACACATAACCCTGCAGGGAGTTATTTCTATTCTGACAGGACACCTGGCCCCAGGTACTGAGAAGCCTCCAGCTTCTAAGCTCCATTAAGAAGACAACTGGTACCATATCAAGTAGAACAAGAGGCTACCTTCCCTCCTCCAAAGCTGTCTAGAGCCCAACCACAAGCCAAGTAAAGGAGAGCTGCCTTTTCATAAGAGCCCTTCAGCTCTGCTTCAACTAGGGCTAATTACTGCAGTGACAGCAACTCTCTCATGCTTGCATTCTTTCTCACCAGGCCCCACTGGAAGCTGTAACACTGGGAACACTGTTTTAAGTACAATCTTTCTTTCCAAAGTATAACTGGGCATATTTTTCATTCCAAATTTGAGGATGAGCCCTCTTCTGCTTTCTCTACTCAACTTGTATTATGTTCCTTCAAGTGCTCTTGGTCACACAGAGAGAAATCCTATCGCTTATCTGGTACATTCTCTACACCTTACTTGATCAGTCTCTAAGGACACAAAATCAGATTTTATCTTCACAGTTATCCTACAACCTCCCCCAGTATCAGGAAGAGTGTTAATTAATTACAGAGTAGGTATTCAATAGATATTGGCTGAATGACTGCAGGACATAGAAATTCAAGTTGTTGGAACTTAGGCATGGACAGGATCTAAGAACATATCAATATATCTGAACCGAAGGGTTCAATAGCTTCTTCCTGAATGAATGAATTAGTAGAAAAAGGCGACAAAGGTATCCTCCCAATGACCCACCATGAAAAAATGAATTGATTACCCTGAAGAAAGGTTCTAGGGAAAAGGGACATTTTAACTATTGTATGTCTTTGCCAGGCCCCAGGCATGTGTACATGTATGCATATATTAATATATGTTTGTGTGAGGGTATATGGCGAGGGAGAAGGCACTGGAACGCAAGCTCCGATGATGACTTTAGGACTGGACATCTCACCACCTACCTTGTTATGATACTGCAGCATCTGAGTTATGATCCTGATTTTCGGGTGGTAGTTCTTTATGGAGATCACTCTAAAAAAGAGAGAAGCAGAACTGAAGCAGGCTCTGTGTAACCCACAGGGTGTGATGGAGGACTATTTGATTAGATAACCTTGGTCAAGTCAGCAACCAGGGCCATCGAGGGGGGCTGTGTTACAGAAAGAATATGTTCCCCTCACCATATGTTATTAATAGCATGAAAAAGAAATGACAAGGCACACTCTGGTATGTATACTAGGCATTACAAACATCAAAGATAGGCAGGAGTAGTAAAACAAACTGTAACCGGACCACGTGATTGATGGAGGCTGGTGATCAGGACTCTAAGGCCAGACCTGACTACAGAGCTCAAAGCTAGGCTGGGCTACATGAGACTATGACTTAAAAACAATCGTGAAGGACTCCTGTGATGCCTAGGAGATGGACTATGAGCCTGAATGCACTGAGATGGAACTTTTGATGCTTGCATACAGGTGATGCAAGCCTAGACCTTAAGCTTCTGGAGAGCTGTATTTTCCCCACTCCCCAGCCTAAAGACCTCTGCCCCATGTCCAGTTAACACCCGAGCCAATGATAACAATTAAAACAGGCCACCTGACAAATGGCCTTTATTATAATCACATACCCTTTGGACATTCTCATAAATGTGAGTTTTAAGCAGAACTCTTGGGATATGATCAAAGACTCTGCCTTCCACAGCATAAAGATGACTTGACCACTGATTCAAGTTAAACACCAGCACCCTAAACATACAGTGATCTGGTGGGAAATCCCCTCTGATTGCCCTCAGTCTTTTACTGAGCCTGGATGACCCCACCAGTCAACCTTCCCTGCCATCCCTTCTCCTGTCAATCACACTGCCAAAAGGAAGAAGTAAGGAGCCCATGAATGGAAACACCTGGCTCCCAGCACAGCTATTGTGCTAATGAACTGGGTGACCCTCCGGAAATCCCTGGACTCTCTGTTCCTGTCTTCTCATCTGGACACTGGGGGCAACCGTACCTGCTTTGTTTACTTCACAGGCTTGGTATGAGGAGCAAATGGGAGACCAGATGTTAAAATGCTTTGAAATCATTAAAGGCCCTCTCCACGTGTAAGTTATGGTTTTTGTCATCACCAACCCTGTCAGAAGTGACATTGTACATTTCCTTCTGTGACAAGGAAGGCTAAGAAATGGAATTCCAGAGAAAGACCTACCTCCTAAGCCTCATCAGGAATGTAAGTGCAATGATCACAGCCACCCCCACAAACTTCCCACCAAGCTCAGCGCTTCCCTTTGCCACTTTTTCTGCAGAACTGGACAGAAGGCAATCAGACAGCAGCTTCATCTGAAGAAACTGAAGCCAGAGACTTTGGAAAATGGTTCCCCAGAAAGCGTCTCTGCACACATTCACCCTGAACTTTACCCCGGAAGGACTTCCTCTCTTAGTTTTAAGACAGTATCTTTTTGGCCTCTGCTTCTAACTCAGGGCTGTTGAGTCTCTGTCAGCCTCTCAGTGCAGTCCACAGTGCCAGCCAGCTTTCTGCATTAGCTCATTTCAAATGGCTCTTTGACATTTTAATTTCAAAAGCAGCAGATTGGTCTCATTAATCTAAGGAGGAATATACAAATAAAAGAAAAGCTGAACCCATGTTTAACCCCGAGCTTCCCACTCTATTTTGGATATTGCTCCTGATTTTCCTTAGTGGACTACTTACTTACATTCCTGATAGCCCTCTGTGCCCAGTGAGCTCCCTACCTTGGCATCCCACCATTCTCCCTGACATTTGCATGTGCTCACATCAACCCTTTATCCTCTGAGTTCAAAGAAAACATTCCAGTTATGAGAAATGCCCATTTCAAAATTACCACACCTTTCTATTTTTCACCACTGAGGAGAAATAAAAGTATACATGGCAGGCAATTCTCCATGAGGTCAAAATCATTAAGCTTCTGTTCCTGGTTTCTTTGTTTGTAACAAGGAAAAAAGATGGTGCTTTGTCCTTGAAGGGCTACATTTTTTTATCATTTCAAATGATAGGAAAAAAAATGTATCAAAGGGTAGAAATGATGCTTAGTTTTGAAAATTACAAGGGCCACATTCTAAACTGGAATTGACCTGTGTGGTCACTTTCCAGTGAGGCCTGGTAACAGGATGGGCTCAAATGTGAAACCAGTCCCCATTTCATCCCAGCCTGACAAACCAAGTCTTACCAGACTTTATGCACAAATTTCCCTAAAACATGGAGCCAAGCCTATTACCGAAGAAAAGTGCCTGGTTTCCTCCAGACATAAGCTTCAGATACTGTCAGGAAGACTGGATCAACGTAAATGCACCAGAGGAATTTCTCTGCCTCACTGGTGGGAAAGTGCATGTAGCTGGCGAATACTAATTAAAACCAAGATGAAGTAAACACTGTAAAGATCCAAAGGCAACTTCTCAGCTCTCACCTTGAGGTAACTTCTTAAGTCCCAGAGAAGCCAGCTGCAATTAGCATCTGGCCTATGCCTGGTCCAAAGGATGGCTGCCCACTATTAAGTGAGAGTTGTGGGGAATACACTGGGAATGAAGTATTTCCCTTAGTCCAGGCTCTCTATAAAAGTTTCTCTTTATTATCTTCGCCAACCTCAAGTGACTATTCTGCAATTTATACCACAGAAAAGACAAATTCTAAAAGGATTTTAGCTAACCAGAGCACATGTTTGGATTTTTCAGTCATTTTCTAGATACAGGATATGATGATAAGTCTACGGGAAGAACAATAGCTAGAGAAAACTTTCCTTCTGAAATGGGAGTAAATTAAGGTCTTTAAGAGTCAGAATTAAGGACTAGAGAGATGGCTCAGAGGTTAAGCGCACTGACTGCTTTTCCAGAGGTCCTGAGTTCAATTCCCAGCAACCACATGGTGGCTCACAACCATCTATCATGAGATCTGGTACTCTCTTCTGGTGTGCAGATATTCATGGAAACAAAATGTTGTATACATAATAAATAAATAAAATCTTAAAAAAAGGTCAGGGCTAAAATTGGCCTTTGAGAGGTGTAGCCCATGTGCAGAAAAGGTGTTAACTAGTAGTGTTCTAGATTTGTTTTCTCCCCAGACCATGATCTGTTAAAAAAAATAAAGAGTGGGGACTTCAATCCACACAGGATTAAGATGTAATGTATATAATTCAGTATCTCATAGATACATGCTAATGTTAAAATCACTGAAGAACACTCATCTGGGGGAACTGGAGACAAGCTAATTAACCAATAACTTTCAGAGCAATAATAATCAGCTGGATGGAGACAGGCCCGGGAAGTACTACCAAGGGGTTTCTCAGACTCAACTATTGTCATTTTGGGTCAGATAGCTTTCTAGATAGGGATTGTGCTGTGCATTGTGGGAAGCTTGACAGCATTCCTGGCCTCTATGCACTGGATTCCATCCAGCAAGACCACCTTCTAGTTGTTTCAAATGCAAAGATGTTGAAACATGTTAAATACGTTGGAAATACCCCCTAGAAGTATTTTGAGACCCTCCCCAGTAAGGACATCTTGGGTCCAATTCCTTTCAGACAGCATAGTTTTTTTAAAAATGAAAATTTAAGATTTTATGGGTATGAATCGGTGTGTGTAGGTATTAGTTTATTTGAAGGCAGAAACCAGCATTGAGTATGTTATTCATTAGATGTAGACCACCTTGACTTTTTGCAACAGGCCTCTCAGTGACCTGGAACTCACTGAGTTAGGCTAGGCTGGCTGGTGAGTCCCAGGGATCTGCTGTCTCTGGTTCCTAGGATTCAAGTGGGCCACTGTGCCTCATTTTCTAAAACTGGTTCTGGGGTTTGAACTCACATCCTTACATTTGCACAGGAGATGCTTTACCAACTGAGGCAACCCCCAGCCCTGTGAACACGGTACTTTAACTCAGACCTGTACCTATCTTTCCTTTTCTAGTTCTTTCTCTGGGGATCTGAAACCCAAAAGCAGCTCTGAGCAGTGGACATGTCATCTGCTAACTCTGAGCTTCCTATTAGTGGTACCCTGTATGTCAACACTCTTCAGCTCCACCAGCTCCATACAGGATCCATTGTTGCCTGGTGTAGGAAGGAAAGATGGTCCACAGAGACAGTCCTCTACAAACCAAAAATGGATGCTTGTAAGTTAGTAGGAGACAAGTCCAGGACCTTCCCCAGCACCTAATTCCCCGAGTTACCTCATGATGTTGGAGGCATCTTCTGCATCCGGGTCAGCGCAGTACTTATTAGCAAGGATCAGGCACGCATCTGCTGACTCTATCTGAGAGATGAAAAGGAAAAATCATAACAAATGCAAACATAGAAACACATACACTCAACTGCAGTCTCTCTTTGTTGGCAGCATTTATATAACTTGGTATTTTGCAAGGAAAGAGGAAAAAAATACAGTTTTGTTAAAAGTGTAGGTTGCAAGCTAGGTCATTGTTATGGATAAACATTCCAGCATGAACCTGAGTAATTATGCTCTTCATTTGGCCTAGCTGCTTACAGGCATATTTGCCAAAGTCCTCTAGTTGACTTAATTAAGCCATTCAATCTCATTCCCATTTCCTCTTTCACCTGTCTGTGCCATCATCCTAATCTTTTCAGCTAGGAAATAGAACTTGGTGGGTTAACCCCATTTCTCAGGGTCCTACGTGGACAAAAATAGTTGCAGATTCAGCAACACAGACTGGATCATTAAGGGGTTAGAGAGATGACTTGGTGATTAAGAACACTTGCTGCTCTTGCAGAAGATGTAAGTTCCATTCCCAGCACCCACATGGTAGTTCACAACCATTAAAAACTTCCATTCCAGGGCATCTGACTCCTTCTTCTGGCCTGTAGGTTTCAGGCAACAGGAAGTACACATACATATGTGCAGGTAAAACACTCATACACATAAAACTAAAATAAGTAAATATTTCTTAAAAATCCTTCATCAAACCTTATGCACATTTTCATTATGTGTGTCCCGAGAAGAAACTGGAGCCTTAAGTAGACAATAGCTCCATGCTGTTCACTGTTCATTACTACTCAGGTATTCAAAAGACAAATCATTTATATAAATTAAATGATACTTTGCAGATGGATGCAAAAGGCAACCTACTGACTTATCTTAATGTGAGCCAAAAGGGGGTTTGTTCCTTAGAGGGACCATGAGTTTGATGTGCTAATAATTGCTTGCATTTAAATTAGGCCTGTGAACAAAAGCCATTTTCTCTGTACTTCTGACTTGGGTCATGTCTGGATAATATTAAGATGAACTTGCCTACATAAGCATGAGAACTCACATGCTGACCTGGGTCTGCAATTCTCCTGCTCAGAATGTTGCACTTACTAGACTGTTCCAGCATTTGGTAGGAGGGCCATGTTTCCCCCCCCCCCCAATCTGTCACACACTGTCTCTTGATTTCTTTAACCATGTAAAGAATTCACACAAATTCTTCTGGTTTTTCTATGATTGCCACTACAGCAAATTCGGAGCACTTTGGTGACCACAGTTAGCATTTAGACTTCCGTGGGTTCACACAATATATTAACTAGCTGCCACTGGCATGCAAATGGTAAACACACTTACAAAACCTATGTTAAATGAATAAATTAGCAGCTGACAGCTTGCTGTATGCCTTTCTTTTCTAAGGCCTTGCTTGTACTTTATGAGAAGATTCCAATTCAGAAGGGGCCATGAAGAATATGAATAGCTTATTACCAAATGATGTGGAGTCTGCTTTTGGAAAAGGAAGTGCAAATGTCTTATATCTTAGTGTTATTTTCTTTTCTAACATTTCTCTCAGATATAACTAATGGATTTGAAAGCTATAATGAGTTCAATTAGTTGAAAACTAATAATTTATGATGTTACATTGTGCACAGTGTTTATCCATTCAACTTTTTTTTACATTTATTTATTATTAGAGAAAGTGGAGTTTAGAAATTACCCACTATTATAGAGTTGGAGTTACTCCGTGTCTTTTGATTCCAGTAGTATGCTTTATGACACTGGGTGGATCAGTGCTTGGTGTATACATGTTTAGTATTTTGGTTGTTTTCTTGATTAGCACGAAGTGCCCTTCTTTGTGTCTTCTTGTCAATTTTGTGGGATGGTAGGATATTGGCACCTGCTTGTTTCCTGCTCCCATTCACTCAGGATGGTTTTTCTATCCTTTTACTTTAAAGCGGTGGCTATCTTTGAAGTTTAGGTGAGATTCATGTAGACAACAGACAGCTGCTTTGTTTCTTAACGCAGTCACCTAATTCGTTTCCTTTAACTGGGGAGTTAGGGCTAGGGTGTTCTTAGTCCTACTTTGTGTTTCAGTAACTGTAGTTTCATTTTTTCTTTCTGTATTATTGGAAATGCTTATTCCTCTATCGTGTGTGTGTGTGTGTGTGTGTGTGTGTGTGTGTGTGTGTGTGTATACCCATTAAAGTGAAAGGAGAATTTGTGGGAGTTTATTCTCTGCTTCCACCAAGTAGGTCCTGGAGCTCAAACTCAGGTCAACAGGCTTGGCAGCAAGTGCCTTCATCCACTGAACCATGTGGATGAGATAGCCCCAATTTAACATTTGAGTACTTTGGGAATGGCTGATTTAGAAGAAAAAAGAAAAGTAAGTTCTATGTTAAGACTAACCTAAGTATGGAATACGTATATATGATGTGAGTAAGCAGAGCAAGGTCCTGTGACCAACAAAAGAGTGTACCAGGGTTAGTAATATCTGTGTTATCTCGTTAATGCTTTAGGAGATGGCTCTTGGGAATCACGGCCCCATCCCTCAAGAAAGAGTACAAACATTTATTTCTCCTTACCTTGACTCTGGCAAGATCGTGTGGATTGAGTACAGAACCCTGATAAAATTCCACCTGAGTAAAATGTCGTTTGAACAGAGCCTCAAGTTCAAGGTTAGGGGAGATGCTGCACAGACAGAAAAGAAACAATTGTTAAAACAACAGAGTGGAGATTTTGGCTCCCTCAGTTTCAATTTCCACATAAGGACCTGAACAAAGGCCCTAACCTTCACAGAAACCTCCTTCTCTGCCCTAAATAAACGGCTCATATTTAAGAGAAGTAAACTCCACAAAATCAAACACAAAGATTGGGACCTATGTGGCAAAATGTCTTCCTCTTTGTTACCACTAGAAAAGTCAGAGCAGTGGCATCAGTGTGATTGCTCATTATATATGTCAACTTGACTGGACCATTTTGGAAGGCCCAGATTAAGGTGATTTCCAGGTATGTCTGTCAGGGTTCTTTTCCATGAAATTCACCTTTGAGTCAGTGAATTTGGGAAAGTATATCTCTTTCCTCCACATGAGTGGGTACTTCACATGAGTGGGTACCGGCCAACCAAGCAAGGATATAAAGAGGAAAGGGCAGAGGATGGCCATAGCTGTTCCTTGCTTCCTGCCTGCCTATATGCACTATGACATCTTAGTCCTTCCACTCTTCTCTGTGGACTAGGATTTCACATCACTGGCTCCCTTTGTTTAGGCCTTCAAGCTTTAGACTGAGCCATAACACTAGCGGTATTTTCATTCTGGAGATGGCAGACTGTGGAACTTCCCAGCCTCCAGAATTGAGTGAGCTAATGTCTTACAAAGAGTCTTTCTTCATATAGGGTGGCCACTGCCCATGAGTAAATGTATTTATATGGAGAGATTTATCACTAAGTCAACTGTATAGACCAATCAGGTTTTCTTTCACAATAATACCTGGCAGTTTTTGAACATTTCCTGCATGCTTACCTGGGCTCTGCACATTTCACATAGATTGATTCATTTCATTCTTATGATAGTCCAAGGAGACAGAACATCCCTGTTCATAGACATGGGAGCTGGGCATAGGGATGTACCTTGCCCAGCCAGCCATTGGTTGTCAGGACTCAGATTAAAGATGCACTTGGCACTATGTCTATGGATTAAATGAAAATCCATCTATGCAGCACTAGCCCCATGTACCACTGAAGACTCAGCAGAACAACAGTGTTAATATGTCCAATACAGTGTGTGACAATTAATGCAGTCAACTGGATGGGATCTAGGACCACCTGGAAGGCCAACCTCTGTGTGAAAGATTATCTATTGGGTTAAGTGGGGTGGAAAGATCCATTATGAACGTGGCAGCACCATCTTTTAGGCTGGGTCTCAGACTAAATACAAAATGAGAAAACAACCTGAGTGCCAGCGTTCATCTCTCTCTGCTTCCTAGATGCAGATGCCATGTGACCAGCCACCGAATGCTTCTTCCACTGCCATGCTTCCTGTGTCTCCATGGACCCGTAAGCTAAAGTAAACCTTTCTTTCTTTGAGTTACTTTGGCCAGGTGTTTTGTCATAGCAACGTGAAAAGTAACTATGTCACCCTGCTTCTTCTCTTGTCTTGCTTGGTCCCTCTCTGGCAGTGCACAATCGCATTAATTATCCCACTCCAGCACTGCAGACACACCCAATTGCACAGACCCACACTGATGAATAGTGACAAGAATAGTGACTTGGATCCTAGTGAATTTCACGGTTAAGTACTTCAAAAAGAAACTCAGACACGATCCCAGACCACCTCACTGGAGGCTGCTTTCAACCTGGACTAGGGTGTTGCTTTACCCTCCAAGGGGTCTAAACCAAATGCCCCATTTTTGTGGAAAAACTACCTTTTAGCTAAGTAGCCAGCATGGTTTGTGGCTATTCAACCTTGTCTCAATTCTCAACCACCTCCATCTCCACTACACCCACAGGAGCATTTGGTTGGGCACAGGCTCTAGTGACAACAGCAGGTTCTTACTTGTGAAGAAAGACGATCTCCACATTGACATCATCCCGGTCCTTGTGCAGAAAGTCCTTCAGGAAGTTAGAGACACTCTCCAGAGTGATGTGGCCACAGACTACAATGTGCCTGCATAGGAGAGACCAGTTAGTTCTAGCTAGATCCAATGACATGACCCCACATCCTGATGCCTGACAAGGCCAAGGAAGTGAGGCAGCTGCAAGAGGAACATCTATCTCTGCCCTCAGCCCCCATAAACCCAGTCCCCATCCCAGAGGGTCATGAGGCAAAATGATGGCACTAGCAGCTGCTCAGAGGCTCCTGGACAGGAGAAGCATATGGCTGCTCACCTGATGCTGCACAAAATCCTATTAAAAGCCCAGCCACTTGGCCAAGTGGTTTTATGCATTTAACAATAAGTGACATTATGCTTGTGCTTAAATGCTACATTATCAAGTCCCTTGCAGATTCCTATCTCTCCCTTTCTGCCCACAAAGCGTCCTCTTGGGAGATTTACCGCAGCAGTCTTGGTTTATGACATACAGCTTATCAGGTAATGAGATAACAAATCTTGCTGAAACGATGATTTTGTGTGTAAGAAAGCGGACTTTTATCAGGGTGGCTAATGTGCGGCTTGACATGTTATAGGCTCGGCTGGCCATAAGCAGTAAAAAGGAAATTTTGCATTTTTCCACCATAACTTCTCCAACAATGGGGGCATGTAACACTTTACAGTAAGTGAGCATTACTCAGGGCTAAATGGAGATGGGATGCCCATGGAATGGAAGATCAAGCTGCCTGCTGTGGCTGTGTCCCCAGAGGGCTGCTGCCTCAAGGTGCTTGGGACTTCGCTGAGAGCCAAACTAATTCGCCTGAAGACCCTTACAATAGGCAGCAGCTAGGGAGACATGAATGTGAAAATGCTGTCTTTGTTCTAGGGTTCTGACTTCTGTTTCTAGAAATAGCAGCTCATCCCCCAGGAAATGAGATCCTTTCCCAGAGCATTTAAGACATCCAGTCCAGCCCCTCCAACAACTTTTCTTCCTGAAACAATGTGACATCAACATCAGACGATCCTGGGCTCAATTACACTGGCTTCATGATGCTCAGTCATAAGACCATGATTTGAGAACTGGCCCCAAGACCAAAAGGGGCTTGGCTGTGAAACTATATGCACCAGCTTCTAGCCAAAACACTTTGCTAAGTGGCTCAACTCGAACCATTCTACCCCTCAGGCTGACAGAGGGTAGAAGTCTAATGTGTTTTAAGACTGGGCCAGGTGGTGAACATGCAGTAAGGCAATTTCCTGGGAAAACTTCAGAATGCCCAAGTCCTTTACCCTTTATAATCGCTCTGTTCACATTGTAATATGGCAGAAAGCTCATTGGCTAGAGGCAGCTTATAATAGGAGGTGGTGATGATGGTTTATGAAATGTTCCATTTGATGTCATTACGAGAGCCCGCCCTTTCGTGGCAATTTGGTGCTCGACTAAGTATGTGAGAATAATGCAGTAAACTCATTGGGGAAAAGATAATGGTGCAGAACAAAGAGTAAATCAATAATATGCACGATGCAGTTAATAATACTACCATTATGGACTGTTATTGTTACCGTGGTGCACTTAGTGATCAGACAAGCCATGGTCATGAAGGAAAGGAAGAGTGACAATGAGGTACATCAGAAGAGACATCGTAACATGATCATATTGCCCTCTCAATAGAATCTGCTAGATCATGGGACATCACTTAGCCACTCACCCAAATTTCATGCCCAAAGCCCCATATCACTGACCTATTCTGACCATAAGGTTGTAAAATACACTGCATATAAGAATTCCTGAAACAAACAGACTATTTGGACTTTTATAGTTCTTTCCATATCTTAAAATGTTTCTTATGGTATAAGCATATTTGCAGTCAAAGTGTAACTAGGCATGAGTGTTCTGAATGAGAATTATGATTCTGAATTGGCAAGCATGTCCAGAAAGTGACCAAGGAAGGGGATTTCCCTCCTGACCTGACCTCCACACAAATGACAAAGGTGTTACCTGGTACATTCTAACATCCTGTATGAAGGCCCTAGGATGAAGAAACACCAACAGGAATCCAACTTGAAGGCATCCCTACAGTTGAAGCTATGTCTTAGGTGAAAGAGCAAGCTGGGTAAGCAAGAACCCCAGTAACCTGCTTTGATGTCAAAGAGAGAATATCCCAGACAAGCTACTTATTCCAGTCCATACAAGAAGAAGATGAGAGGTCAACCTCACCCAGCCAGCCTCTGTATCAGATACTGCAAATTTCAGAGTTCTACACTGGCATATCCCTGGTAGTGATCAAAGCCAGACTTGAATGAATGGTGGCTTGAGACAGCCGAACACTCACCCTTCCTGTTCTGTACACAAAGAGTGGAGAGAACGTCTGACAGCACCCCTGTTGCTGCTCTGAAATCATTCATCCTAAGAGAAATGTGTGAAGTGGAAGGGGAGGAGATGAGCACCCCCCTACCCCCAACGAATCACCCTCGAATCAAAGGTTCAGCCAGCTGATTTATTCAGCCTTAGAAAAAGTCAGGGTTCTATTATTTGAAAGTGTGCCGGGTACATATAAAATATATTCCAATGTAATCAATATTATCCCTTAAGCCTTTAATTAGCTTTCACTTCTCTTAAGAAGTAGACAAATGCTGGCAGCAGAGAGGAAGGGGGTAAAAAGATTGACTTTTTTTTTCATTTGGAGCTAGCTGTCCGATACCATGCTAGACAATTGAAAATATATATCTTTTAGCTACAGCATGATTTCTGGGGTGGAGAAAAGTCCTTATCAAAAAAGGAAGAAAAAAATCTTCCTTCAACGTAATTGGTATTTTTGCTCAGAAAAAAGGGGGTGGTTGTCAGGGGGAAGGAGATTGATTGAAAGCAGATTGCCTTTTTGCCCAGGGAGAGTTATTAGGTACATTATCATGGCAACCTTGAAGAAGCCATATTGTTCCAATCTGCCCTGTATCTGATTTGAAGATTTACAGTCTCCCCCTTTTGTGCCAATAATCATTTCCCTCCATTTTGTTTTCCATACAATGGAAGTTATCAGGAAGCCCACATATTGAAAATGTTTGAATGTCATCAAGAATTGATGGATAGCAAGATGTTGCCTCTCTAGTCCTGTGTCAGCATTGGAAGATGCGCCCTGGCGACCCATGTCTTAGGAAGCCTCAGATGCCTTACAGGAGCATGAGGAAAGGATGGCAAATTGAGAAAACACTTGACAATCTCTTGGATGTTAGTTTGGGGGAGGATATTGTTTCAGGAAGAAAAACCCACAATATTTATTATGCTTTCTCAAAATAAGATTGGAAATATTTTATAATTGAGAGCAGAGTGCTGGTTCCTTGGAAGCAGTGAATCTTCACATTGAATGACTAAGGAAGGTCACAAGATCCTGTCCAAAATGATCTCTGCTGACTTCCATAATATCTAAGGATCTGCTGGGTGTGATCCAAACTCTGATGTCAGACACAATTAATTAAGTAGTCTCGGACAGGTCCCACCAATTTTTCATTTTAGGAGCAACAATTCAGAGCTTTAGAGGCACTGTAAAGAGTACTTGATTCATGTGGTTGTCTCCAAGATTTACTTAAGGGAGATAATACATGGATGGGCCCAGCCAAGGAGCCCATTGTCAGCATTCTAAAATGGTAGGGACTGTATGACATCTTTACATCAGTACACAGGAGCATATGATTCCATCTAATCCTTAAACAACATCATACTCTTACTATCAGCATCTCTTTCAATATCCCCTCTAAAGCTATTTCTTTGAGATGTACCTCTGATGTTCACAGGATGTAAAAGGAACTGACCCCAGGTGCAGGCCAGGTGCGTGAGACCACAGTGCTCATGGAGAGGAAGCTGATGGGTGGGGGTTTGTAACTCTCAGCTTCTGCTCCCGCAAGACAGGCAGGATTGGTGGTTGCATGGTAGAGGAGGTATTGTAGGAGTTCTTGACGTTTTGTAGAGTTTTGTCATGGGAATGGGGTGGACAGAGACTCATTTAAGATGTCACAGTTTCTCAGCATCTCTAGACTAGGCTACATCTGATCAGTTGGCCCAGAGGGCTCAAGGAAACAAAATCCAAATAACATAGAAATTACCAACACTGCTTGCTGTTCATAGACTCTGAACCAAACTTCATGTTTAGTCTGACAAGCCAAGAGGCTGCAAAAGTTATTATCTATACCAGACTTTGCTCTCCTATGAAGCTGAGGACTGTGAGGTATCTGGGGCTCTGGATATAGCCTCTTTGAGCCCAGTGTTAATCTCCATGCCTGGATTCTATGTAGCCTGAGCACTTGGACTGTGACGACAGACAACAGATCTAAACCAATGACCATTTTTACTTTATCCTGATGAGACTTGGGGGTGAGACAAAGCCTGACTGAGTTTGATGAACAGATATTTCTGAGGCAAAGGTAATACAAACAAAAGATAACATAAGCTTAGATGAAAGACCCAGCTCCGATGTACAAGGAAGTATCTTAAATATTAATACACTGGTAGCAAATGGAATTTGGTGGAAGGAAGGAGTTTATCCACTACTGGTGCTGAGTAAGGACTCCAAGCAGTGGGTTAATTAGGGATGGGAAGCATAGGTAGAATGTGGAACAAGTAAGGCATCTTGTGGTTGAGCATGATTTCATAATAAAAGACCAATATATGACTAGAGTGAAATCTCCCAGGGGTAACTGGGAAATTGCCACTCAATTATGCTATAGGCTCCTCATCACCAAATATTCTTGACTGTGCTCCTCCTCCCACTAGCCACCTCCTTCCTCTAGCATGTGGTTACATGTTTTCCTCAGTCACTCTACTTCCATTGTTATGGTGGGCCAGGAAGGCCACCATTTTTGAGTGAGTGGCAAGCTGTTTCAGAAGTCAATTCCGTACCTGAGCTCCTTATGTCAGGAGGCATAAGAGGAGGACAGGGCTTTGCAAGACTTGGGTGATAAGGCACCTGAGAGTCACTAAGAGTCTGTATCGTTCAATGAGAACAAAAATCTACACACTTCCCACACATCCCAGGTAGTATTTCTGAGAGCCAACCACCTTTGAAACATTCCACATTTCACCATGACA